TTACACTAGATATATTGTATATATATTATTAACAATAATAATATTTTATATAGTTATAACTAAATTTGGTCACGTTTTGGTATGGCTCAGTCTAATTTAAAACGAATGCAAAACTAATTAAAAATGAACAGATTCACCGAGAAAACATATTCAATTATTTCAAGTCAATACCCTGTATTGGGTTTCTGTGGTTATGAAAAGGAGAAAATCATATTTTATTTGTAAAGCTAATGAGGATTGACTAATTTTTTGTTTATTCGTTATTTGCATAATATAAACAAGGTTTACTAATTCTGGAGCATGCAACGTATAAATTGTCTATGAGAGAAACGCCATGTCTGTCGGAATGAGTGGTATTTTTGGAAATAGTCGTAAATAGTGTACCATTTTATAACTTTGGCTGATTGATGTTTCGCGATAGTATAATTTACTCTTCAATGATTTTCAAATTCAAAATATATCACGATAATTCGGAATTCTGTAAAATAGAGAGAATTAAATTATTCTGTTCGACTAATTCATTTTGGTTCATCAAACATAGAAAATAATGTTTGAATTATTTTAAATTTTGTTTTTAGATTCTGAGAGGAGGAATGTGTTGGTTTTACAATGATGTTTATTTTTTAATTCTGTTGACAACTTTTCTACCAGCAATTTGTTACTCCGATTTTCAATGATAACACATTTTGTGGAAGGAAATCTGACTGGGGTGGTACTTTAGATAGGTAATTTTTATTTTCCCAGGAGTTTTCATAATAGATACAATATTCAACAAATATTATTTAAGAGAATATATAATACACATGTAATTATTTTACCAAACATGAAATATATATTGATGACAAAGCAACACTATAAACTGAACTCCGCTCAGAATGACAGAATCGTTTTTTCATTAGCAATGGTTAATCGTTACTTACAAATATACATTAAATTGCCTGTATACAATGACTTCACTCATCTCCATTGTCCTAGGACAGATTTTTTTTCACTATGCTCCAAAAAGTGTTTTCTTGAGGTCATCGAATAGTAACACCAATACTCCACCAAATGAAATATGATTATTTCGTAAGTCTTTCAATGATTGAATGGATGGTTTAATGCTTCCAACGGCTGCTTATGAGTTACGCTTCATTTTATATATTTTCAACTGTGAAATCCAAGCTGTGATTTCGTAAATATATTTTTTATGTTAAATTTTTTACTGATATATGATAAATGATAATAAATAAAAATGTAGTTCTATGTGTTGCTATGGTTACTTGACTGTGGTTTACACAAAACAAGGACCACATTAATTTCAGCCACTGAATATTTAAGCCTCTATTTTCATTATATTGAGCAAATCGAGTATTTAGGTTGTACATATTCAAATGCAACGTTACATGTTGTTTTAAAATTTCAAAGAGACAATCAATCCACTACTTTTTGAGTTTTGTGAGTACAAACATAAGCACGCTGAATTTTTATAAATACAAAAGTTAAAAATATTCCATTAGGTATATAAAACAATTTGTATTACAGCATTTCTTTCAAAAATCTTCCTCCGAATTACAAGTGTATCATTTTTTCTGAAAGGATACCGGACTGGGGAGGTACTTTAAAGGGGTTACTTTTTGATTTTTCCAGGAGTTTCCTAATAAATTCGAAAAACTGGAAAAAAACGGGAAAATGTATGAAATGTAATAGGTAGTTAAATATTACAGACTTTTTTTCTGTAGACAAATTTTCTACCAGTAATTTTGATCCGATTTGCAATGAAAGTATTTTTTCTAAAAATAAATCTGACCTGGAAGGGACTTTAGGAAGATCATTTTTTTGATTTTCCCAATATAAAGGAATGATCTTGGTGCAAACCCTCCTAATTATAACATTTAATATTTTTAATAATTATAATATAAAAAAAAAGAACTGATACGGCAACCGACGTGGGTAGGAAGTTTAAGAAAGTAGGATACATAAAGTTATTTAATTTACATCTGTAACATAAACCATTGTTAACGAAAAATGATTCTGAACGAAGTTCGGCAAGACATATTTTGAAATGTTTTAATTTTTATGAATTTCGTTAAAATTTTGTTTTTAAACACTTATGAAAAAAAAAATTAAGGCAATAAACTCAAATTTATGATTACTAATTACAACTTATAATGTACTTTGTGGTAAATTTACAAACATTTCTTATAACTCGTAGTTTATTAATCATATAATTTTAATGAAACACCAACAATAATTTTTAATTTAATAACAACAAAATATACTCAAATGTCATACACTATGCCTATTTTTTTTCCGGTCATTCATAACATAATTATTAGGAAAATCAAACGACTTTTTTTACTCACAAACTAAACAAAATTTTCTTTCAAAAAATATGCTTTCTGAAAATTTGAACAAAGATTTTTGATAAAAAAATATAATCTTAAAAATTTTAAATAACGAAATCACTGTTCCGTAATTTAAAAAAATTTAACTTTTCGTCTTTTTGGTTTTCCAAATTATTATGAATATTACTTTTGATATCGAAAAATAAAATAACATTTTCGTAAACATTTTGAAAAAACGTGTAACACGCAAAAACGATAAACAAAAAAAAAATCGAAAACGTTTTCGTACACGTTGAACGAAAGCACTCCTTTAATAATTATTTCATGTGCCTGTGTGAAATATTAATGTTATTTACATGTGAGAACGACAAATATTGCCTCACATGGTCGCATCTCCCCAATATAGGTTTATAAAGTGAAATCGCCTAATAATAATATAATAATTTATACATTACAATTTAGCAGTGTCTGTTTGATAGATTTCGGTGTCCGGTACAGAATTTATTTTACGGGGCCCCATACATATTTATATTTATTTATTTTATTTTCCAACGGACTTACTTTATTTTCATATAATTTTATAAAATTCAAGGTTTTGTTAGAAATCTAAATTTGTACCTATATATAAACTAATAAAATCAAATTTGTATTTTTATATTAGACATAAAATAAATATATACCTACTTATAGATGCAAACAATATTTTATTAATTAATATTTTTATTGACACGATGACATAAATATGACATAATAAGTAAACTTTTAATTTAAAAAAATAATAAACATTGATTATTATAATATAACCGATATATATACGTATAATATTTTATAATATTTTTTTATGCAAACAGATCACTTTGTCTCATTGTAACTCAAAGAATCGACAATACTATATGTTCGATACTAAGAAAATATGTTTGAATGTTTTCAAACCAATAAAAATGTGTTTGGCTATGTATAATAATTTATTGTTACCACCTTGATTTTCGTCGATAACAACCCGTGTCCTGAGAAAACCACACGGCCTCACGGGTCGTAATTTGCATACTATTGGGACAATATTATTATGATTATTTATAGATAAAATGATATTTGGAATACATAATTTGGGGAACCATGCACAAGCGCGGGATCGGGTGCGCCCCCCCCCTCTAAGAATCGTACTGCAATTCAGTAACTACAAAATTTAGTTAAACGCCTTAAAACATGCAAAGTAAATTTTTTAATACTTTTGAATTTAATTTTCCTATGTAAACAATTAAAAGTTATGCCATATATATATAATTAAAGTCAAAATAATAATAACATAAGTTACAAACGCCAAAAAAACGCAGTATAAAAATTAAAATGGCAAGTTAATTGGCTTAATATAATATACTAAAACGCTACATGGGAAAAATGAGAACATTTTTTAAATACGAAAATGTTAAACGGAAAAAAATGAAAACGAAAAACGGAATTTTCCTACACGTTTTTACTCCCTTATTTTAAAATATATTTTAAGATTTTCAGTTATATTATAGTTCTTATTTCAGAAATTTTAGAACTATAAAATCCAAGTCCTGATTATTATTATTTTAGATTCTGAGTATACAGAAGAATATTTTTACAAATGTTTATTTTTTTTAAAATTTTTTTATCTGAACATTTTTTCTACCAGAAAGCATACTCCCATGTATACAATATAGACCCTTTTTTGAAAGAAAATTTTCTTGGACGTGTACTTTAAGTATTTTTCGATTTTTCTAAGAATTCTCAGAAAATGAAAAAACTTGAAAAAACCGGGAATAACGTAGAAAAACGGGAAAAATCGGTATAATATTGAACAAATATTATTAAAGAAACTATATAATGCCTATTTAATTATTTCACCATAATATGACCTATATTATGTTCTTGAAAAAGCATTACTATCAACTGAATATGCTCAGAATCGTTTTTTCGTTAATAACGGTTTGTCGTTGCTTACAGATATACGTTACATTCCCTTCTATATTCTACCTTCCCAACACTCCACCTATAACAGTGACTGCATCCGTCCCCACTATCCTTGGACAGTTTTATATATATACATACATTTGTATATATAAATATAATACAAAATCGAACATCACACAAATACTAAATGTGCTAATATAAATATTTATCGTGTACAAAAATTATTATTTTTCACTTCGGATACTTTCAGTAAATCCAGAGTGCCCTACTTATTTCCGAACCTATTATTATATATATTTTTAATAAACAAAAAATGTATAATATAAAAATATAAAATTTAAAATAAAATAATACGTTATATTTATTCAGGGGAGAAATGTCTCGCGAGGAAACGTCTAGTACCGCAACAAAAAAATCCCAGGAGGATGACTAAGGTACGAGTAGGAAACATCCAAATACCATTTTTTAATCGTTCACACAATTATTATTAATAAATGTTATTGCAGTCTGTAATAGTCAGCTGTCAAGTCTAAATAATACTATAATACAGTCCATAGTTAAATGACGATATTTTACGACACTGCAGGTGCTGCGATTTTAGAGCTTACTTTTTTTTTTTATACATATATACGAATATAATATACAAAATATAACATTAAAATCTAATCACGTTTTCTTTTCTCAAATATCAAAATATATTTCTAAAAAGTTAATTACATAAAAATTGAATTGTTTTTATGATGTATTTAAATTTAAACAACACGATGAGTAAAATTTCAAGATTTCTTCCCAATCGTTCTCACTTAAAGGAGAAATATTTTTACATATATTACACTTTTTAAATATTTCTAGGTCACTGAAAGATTCACGTGTCCTCAGCAACGGTCGATTCCGTGAACTTTTTGTGTACTTTATATTTTTTTCTTGGTCATCATAATCATAAACGCTATTATTGTCATCATTACTGTTTGATTCTTCTTCTATTTGTATGGAAGTATCCAATTTCGTTTCTACATTTTTACAATTTAAATTATCATTATTAGCACATTTAGAGTCATGTCCGATTCTGTTTTTTTTTATAGTTTCGTTTATAACTTCTATTTTGGTAACTCCTCTAAAAGATTCATCCTCGGAGCTTTTTTCATCATTAGTCCAAAAGTAATTTTTACCTAATTTTTTTCGGCCTAACGATAAATCGTCGAATCTGCGTTTAGTTTCGCTGGAGTGATTTTCATAAACGTCAATAGCTTCGTCTGTTGAATTTTTAACTTCGTTAACATTTTGTTTCGTCGACTTGACGTCTTTGAATGATTCCTCGGATGGGTTTTTAGACGCGACATTAATACGATGACCACTGTTTATGATACCGGACCTGGTATTTCTTACTTCGTACATTTTCGAACTTATCATATTTCTTAAATCAATACTAGAGTATTCGCGGGGCGGTGCGACCCTCTTTAGATAAGAGGGACATTGGCACTTTTTATAACCGGTCGGAAGGCTATGATTGCTCCCAGAACTAATATTATCCCAACAGTCAAAGCTGAACATTTCAAATACATATATTGGATGACACACGATACTCATCAGTTACATTTACATACACACACTTATAAAAATAATTATACAAATAAAATATATTGTTACATTTTTGTTGGTTGTTTCTTTACGTTTGAAACGTTACTATAGAATTTATTATTATCTATATTACACATTTTCATGTTTAGAAGTCGAGTGTACTGGATGTATTTTTTTGGTTTAATTTAGCACAATATATTCAAATTCTGATTTTTGGAATGATTTTTTAAATGTTGTTAAAGTAGATGTTTTCGAATACTTAGATTTGTCACAACATTTAAGGAGTATCATGTGGCGATATCAACTTTGGTTTTTCAAATGAAAAGCTCTATTAAAAATTCTATAAATAGATGAAGTATTACTTTAAATACATTTTGGTGACGACATTTTTGATCTCCATCAACCCATTAACGAGATATTACACTTCTAAGTTTAGAAAGGGGGAGAGTTGTAGTGGAATATCATTTTTGTGGCCGCACGCTGAACGGCTCACAGTGTTTTATTAGTGTTCCACTACTCCCGCCCTACGTAAACTTAAAAGTGGAATATCTCGTGAACAGGTTGACGGAAATCAAAAATGTTTATATCTAAATTTATTTAAGCAATACTCCGTCTATTAATGGAATTTTTATATAGGTTCTCATTAAAAAAATTAAAGTTAGTATCACCACAGAATACTCTTTAAATCCTGTGAAAAATATAAATATTCGTAAATATCGGCTTTAAATATGCTTACAAGTTCCAAAAATCAGATTTTGAATCTATGCAAAATATAAGTGAAAAAAATGAGATGAGCACGCTTAGTGTATTATATGCTCGTATATTTGTTAAACTATAAACTTAACCTACCTAATATTTGTAAAATCAAAAAAAAGTTTTTCTACTCATCAAAAAAAAAACTAAATTTTCTTCAGAAAAGATTATATTCTTTACATTTGGATAATAATAGGTTCACGAAATGCCGTGATTTTTTCCAAGATTTTCATCAATATTTGATGGAATTCGTTGAAACAAATTGTGAATAAGAATTTTCAATATTTTTATAGTGCCATAATAAGAAACCCTATGATGAACCTTGTAACATATATTCGAGAAGCCGTAGAAGCCACACAAATTGTTTCTACATAAAACCGAGAAAAAAAAATCAAAATATTTCTAGTAGCCATAAATTACTAGAAAAACGTAAAAATGGCGTAATGACGTCTAGAAATGGTGTTCGAAAAGGAAGTTTTTTTTCCAATTACCAATCTCGTATAATCTCTTACTATTACATTATGCAGCATTGCAGTTTTTCGATTTATTTACGTATATACGCTTTAATTTAATGAAATACCATCCTTTAGTATATATATATATATATATATATATATATTCGTAAGTAAATAAAATAGTTTTTTTAAAATAAAAACCGATTAAAAAAGTCTATACGAACAGTTTCGAGTGTGAACGTCACGTAGACGATAAGTGGTTCTTGTACGAACTATATTCTATATATATATTTCTATATACGAGTATATAGTAAACGGGAAACGAGAAAAAAAAACCGAGACCGAGAAATCTTTTTCGACACACCGTCACTAAGTCGATTTAAAAATGTCATTACCTATACTCGTCATTTCGTCTTTCACTCTTCAAAATTCGATTCGTGTGTATTGATTTTTACAGTAAATTTTTTATACCAGCACGTTTTAGGCCACTCGTGCAATATTACATATTGATAGTGTCAATTATATACGACTGCGGTGATTTATACGAATACACACGCGTGGGCGTAAGTAAATAATAATTGAGTCCCAAATTAATTTATTGTTTTCCCAAAGCACAAAATTTTAGTATTTACAAAAAAATTATAATATAAATATTGTGTGATATTTTTTATTATTAAAATTACATTCAAGTTTTTCTTCCGCGAAACTGCGACGTCTGTCTATCACTAAACATTTGTAAATTGAAATCGTTAGTTCAACATATCGAAAAAAAAGTAATTGGACCATATCATACGTATTTTGTGGCGCATAATTTTCATTGCAATAATTATTTAATAATGATCATTTTGTGTGTACAAATTTTAAGATTACAAACATAAATGGTTTATTTATTTAAAATTTCTACAATATTGTTTCGGTAGAAATGTTGATATTTATAAGCTTTAAGGTCACTGTACCAAACGGGTAACTATTTACTGCAGCGTACACTATCGAATAGTTTTTATTTAAAATACAGCAGTTTTTATTGATTTAGTCGTTTAAAACAATGTTTTAACACATCAATTCAAGAGTATAGTAAACTATGTACGACCGCATTAAAATATACAATATATTGCTGTTCTGTACAGTTATGTCTCATCGTATCCGATATTTTATATACACGAGTATATATAGTTGAATTCAACTTTTAAATTTTGGTTGAGGGAGAGTGGTGGTGCATTATTAATACGCCGCGCGCCGTACAAATGATACTCCACTACTCTCCTCCAACCCAAACTTAAAAGTCGAATATCCTGTCAATGGATTGACGGAAATCAAAAATTTAGCACCAAAATTAATTTTAGCTAATACTTCATCTATTTATGGATTTTTGAGTATAAATAAATATTAATAAATATTTGATAATCAAAAGTAGGTAGTCGCTTTGTTCCTATAAATAAAAATGACAAAAAGTAAAATAAATATAAATCGTAAAGCAGCTTATTTCTTAATGTTCTAGAAAATAAGTTCTGGAAAAAGTTAGTACTTTCCGATATAATGAGTGTCTTATGATAGATTGATCATCCCGTATACGGATGTTATGCAGAATATTTTTGGTTACTTCTAAAATTATTGCATCCATACGGATAGACATTACATTTTTTGTAGGTTTTATATGATTTTTATTAAAAATATATTTAAAACACGCATTTCTTAAAAAAAAAAAAAAAAAAATAGTACCCTTTTACATAAAAACTAAAAAATAATCTTTCGAAAATAAAAACGTATTAAATAAAACTAATGTTAATAAGGAAATCATGGCGCTTGCACTCAATCACTTTATAGGGAAGATTCGCCTATATTGGACCGTTTTTTATATTTTGTAATTTTTTTAATGAATTTTCCTAAATGATTCCTTAGTTATTGCTTAATTAGTCTGAATTATTGATATTAAATTGCATTGAAACAATACCTAAACACGTAAATTCTAATTTGGAATAATTGGTTAAAATGTTTACAAAATAGTACATAGGAAGTGACTAGTGACCAAATGCTTAATTTAGATCGATTAAATTGAACCGCCATATTACATTCATATAATCAGTGAAATGTATTTTAATTAATCTTGGAATACGCCATCATCTAACATTGTGTGAACCATGTTAGTTTCTCTAGTCACTTAAATGAATCATGTAAAAAAGTATACTTTTCATTTTGCTATATTTACTGTATTCAAGCTAATATTATAAGTAATAAAAATATAACTCTCCTGTACTCTCTGCCCACCGAGCATTAATAATAATAATAAAAATGTATTATATTCATATTATAAATATTGTCGTCTTTAATATTTTTTTTTTTTTACCAACGGTTATTGTAACTGATTTTATCCGGTCCCTCCAAGGTCATTTATAAACGGTTTATACTGCAATATATTAAAAATAAAACGGACATAGTCCTCACACAATGGGTAAGCCACTGGTTTGTAAGTGAGAAGTTGGGAAGGTAATGGGGAAATTTAATGTATATTTGTATTTAACGTTGCTAACGAAAAACAATTATAAGCAAAGTTCAGTTATAGGCACGTGTTTTCTTAGGCCGCAACGTTTACAATTTGAAAATAAAAATATATATCCTGAATTTTCCCGATTTTCCTACGTTTTTTCCCCGTTTATTATGAAAACCCTTGGAAAAATTAAAAAATGACAAATGTCAAATTTTTTTCCAAAAAAAATTCTGCATTAGAAAATCTGAGCAAAATTTCTAGTAGAAAAGTTGTTTATATAAAAAAAAAAATGAATAAAAAATTTATAAACATCATTGTAAAACCAATATATTTTGAAGTAATTGATGGTTGAGCGGTTTAAATGTAAACAAAATTCCACGAACACAGATCATATAAATTCTAATGAATTCAATCTATTTATTCTAATGATTTAATTCGGTATAATGCAATATATTGATTGCAACTAATGATGGTCTTCCAATAATGTCCGTCCAATTGAATAACAAAAACAAGTTAGTTAAAAGGCACATTTTAATATTAGTAATACATCATTTTTTATTATATTGTGTTTAATTTTAGGAACACTTGTTTAAATGTTGTGAAGAATTCTATAAGGACGGAGATCGTTTAAAGTTTCTAATAAACGTCGGCTATCCATTCGTACCAATAATTTTATTATATTATGTATTTTTTTTTTTTTAAATATTTTTTAACTAATATTTTTAATTCTTTAAAAACGTCGGCTTTTGCTTAAAATGTTGATTATTTTTTTATTTGATTTTATACTGATTATATTTCATATTAATATTCAACAACATTAATTAAGATACAATTATAATATTTTATATATTTTTAGATTAATTATTAATAAATAATAGATTATACATTGTTATAAAATGCGCGATTTTTGGATATAATGATTTATAAAAAGTGAACGGTTTTAACTTACTAAATGTATGCGGTTTTGTCCTGTATTTTATCGCAAGTGTGCGGTTTTCGGATTCGTCGTTAAAATTACAGTCTGAAATAAATAACGATTCGTAACCTAGGTCTTAAACATGACAATAATTATATTGTACTCTGGTAATCTATGAGTATTAGTTTTTTTTATCAAAAAATTGTTTTATTATTAGTATAAATTAAATAATACAAAGTATGTAGGTACACTTCGTTCAACTGGTAGGCCGCACTGTTGTAGATAAAAAGCTGAAAAGGTATAGGACATAAATAAGAATTTAATTAATATAATCTGTGCGCAACGGTAAATCAATGCTAAACAA